GACGACGGGCCACCAAAGAACACTCGACGATCAAAAAAACAACCGCTCCCAACATAACACGGGCCCCGGAGACCATCCATTCCCCCAGGATTGATCACATAGAGACGTTTATACTCACTGCCATAAATATCCGCACTATTTATCCCATGAAACCGTTGCGGGAATTGAATGTATCCTAAATTATGTCTCATCGATTGATCCACATAAAAACATAGCATCTGTTGGGGTGTTTTCGGATCGTTTGAGTACATGTCGCAATCCTGGGTCAACACTATCGGTGCATTTGTCATTACGGCCGATACCCGAAGCTACAAAACCACAAAGTTAAAAATAAGTGTGTATTCAACAAAAAAAATCCAAAACGACAATTTTTTTATGCATTTTAAACCATTATCCGTATTTATCGAACCCTATCACCCTAAAACGATATAAAACGCACAAAAATCCCTCTCGTTACATTCAGTAACTCGAAAATGCTTACCAGCGCATTAAGGGCACCGGCTTTAAAATGGTGTGGGAAAATCTTGCTTTTTTCTCTAGATACGTATATGAGATTTGGCATTGGATGCCCTTCTATCTCATTTTCTTGCCCACTTTCTAATAAAACCTGCTCCAATAAATTTCAATCAGTATATTTTAAAAATCCATAAAACATACGAAATTTTATTACAAAAATGCGCAAAATATCAGGTATTCGAATTTCGACCTGAATAATAGTCGGATGATCGTGACGAGTGAACCCTTCGCTCCATTTATCAAAAGCTTTGCGTTCGTCTTCATTGGCAATATACTCCGCACTTATTTGCCCTCTCTCAACTACGTTTTCAACCTTTAATTTCATCTTCTCATACATCGCCTGCGTTTTCGTCACAATTAAATGAACCAAATCAAACGAACCCAATATATCTCATCCAAAAACAACTAAATTAGATAAAACCCAAATAACCAAATAACGAAAAAAACGATCTTTTTGAATGATGGATTGTTAGGGGCCGTTTAGCTAAACATTTACCAGTAAGCACTTACTAGTAAAATTCAACAATATTGTTTACTTACCGAATAAGATTTTATTCACCAAAACCCATCGTATGCAACAATTTATCCCGTAAGTGCTAACCATAGTAAGAGTAATCGCCCTCACTTACCGGGTAAGATTCTCAATTCTTGTCTTCGTTCTGACCAGGTAAGATTTTAGTCCTTACCATATTCATGCGGAAAAATAATATGACTTGATAAGCGCTTACCCGGGTAAGCGTTTGGTAAACGGCACCTTAATTTCCACACATCAAAATTGTTTTTCATTCATGTTACAAATGAAAAACTATTTTAATTTGATCACTTTAACTTTGAAATTATTACGAAAATGTTATATTTTTTTAAAAAAAGTTTCATTTTTGGACGAAAACGCTAATTTCCAAAATATAGGGGCACTTCTGAAAGAAATGAAAAGAATAGGGACTGTAAAGCAATTTACTTCAATATTATGGTAGATTCGGTGGTTGTTTGGCTTTATGTATCCACTTGATATTTAAAACGACTATAATCAACAGACACTTGATATAGAAATTGAAAAAAAAAAGTATATTAATAATAAAAACGATTATATATATATATATATAGATTTGGGATCATGTGAGACAATGTATTTTTCGTGAGACTCGTAAGACCAATTCTCAATCATTGAATTAGATCTACAATCTCAACATTCATAATCACAAGATTACCACGAGACTTCTCAATAATCACAAAATTGTCACCGTGCAACTTTAAATCATTAGATCATTAAGTTGATCAATTAACATAAATTGGTCTCACGGCTCACGAAAAACCTTTGGTCTCACATGAACCAAACCCTATATATATATATATATATATATATATGAGTTATTATGCAACCATTTACATTTGTACAACCAATACAACTCTCAACCGTCCATTTAATTTGATAAATATGTAATTTCATAGAAGTTTTGATTGTTTCATAATATAAATTATTGATCATAATTAATGAACTTTATTTATATTCCATAAATATTTAAATTATAATAAATAAATTCTCATCATTTTTATAAATATTTTAATTTATTGGGTTAAATTGGTTGTATTTGAAACAATCTATATATA